CATTGGTGCACATTCTGTCAGGTACCCGGCCAATAAAATCAGTCCATTATTCACTCCAGAGACAGACTGCTCAACAATCAACAAAGCAGGAGCAGGGCTGGAGAGCCTCAGGGCAGGGACCGGTGCCACCAGGTGATACTCTGCAGTGTGGCTGCCGCCTCCAGGCTTGGCTGCTGATGGCAGTGGGCCCACTGGGCTGTCTCACGGGAGAGTTCCTCCACAAATTGCTTGTGGATGGCCAATTTGAGTCACCGTGTCTCCAGCTCAGCTGAGTTCATTTTACCCCGTCAGTCCCAGCTGCCCTGCAAGCCTGACACTGTCCCGCAACCACTGCAGCGGTGCCCATCCCTGCCATGACCGTCAGTCCCATTTTCTATCCTATATCGTCACCTATGGTCTCACGCATTGGGTCGTGACCAAAAGAATGAGACTGCTGATCCAAGAAGTGTGGCTGGGCTGTCCCTCACTGATAGGGTGAGGAGTTCAGTCATTCGGAGGTACAGAGCACCATAACTACTTTTCCACAACAAAAGGAGCCAGCTGAAGTGGTTCAGGCCTCTAACTGGGTCATCTGAGGAGGTGTTGTGCACATGGTCTACCAGGAGGAGACCCCTGTGCAGACACAGGACAGACTGGACAGATTATGTCTCTTGACTAGCTTTGGAACATTTTGGTGTCTCCTAGATGAGCTGGAAGTGGCCTTATCATCTTATCCTATACCAGTGTTTTTCTCATTTTTGCTATGTAACTTTGCACTGTCCACTTTCTGCTGTAACAAAACACATTTCCCACGTGTGGGACTAATAAAGGTGATCTTAAATCCCAGAAAGAGCAAGAAAATGGGCGGATAGATGTCAAACACACACACAAGGAGTTTTAGCAGCACTCCCATAATGCATGAGTCCTGCCAATAGTGTCATGGCTCGCCATTTTAATATGTTCTAATTAATATTTTTGACTCCTAAACTCTCCAGACGTGTCATTTATGCCACGCCGCCTGTCTAATTCTATTTTAAAATTATGCTTTTTTTTAAAAAGTAATATACAGTGGGGCAAAAAAGTATTTAGTCAGCCACCGATTGTGCAAGTTCCCCCACTTAAAATGATGACAGAGGTCAGTAATTTGCACCA